CTCTTCCTACAAGCTCCGTGCCGGAAACACAACATAGTTTCGAGACCTTGCTGGCAAGGTTCGAAGAGGCCTCTGACCTGCAGGTTGCTCCTGACATGTTCTACTCCTCAAGTTTTGAGTCATTCCACTCGGTCGAAATCCCACCATCTCCAGCCGCTGAGATCAATTCCCCATTGACAACCGCATCGCCGGTATCAGTCGCTTGCCCGGACAGATTCCCGGTTCAACAGGAATGTTTGGCGGAAGACATGACGTTTCATCTACCGGATTCATCTGAGAAGAACCCCTTTCCAGCAGCAGAACGCGTCAATAGCACGGCTTCTCAAGCTGAAACTTCACCGGGGGACCAGTCCTCGGTATCGAGTTCGACATCGTTCCTGGACATACCCTCGAGCCCTGAGAATGACCTTGCAAGGAACCTGAGCGACATGAGCATTGAATTTCGCCGGCGCTCCAAAGCGTCGCGAGAACGAGAGATATCCCCTATGCCACCACCGTCCATTCTGGTCAGTAGTAGTCCACCGGAAAAGCAAGATGCAGCCTCCATCATCCAGAAGACTGCCACCCTTGTCCTGGTACCTCCAGTGCAATTGTTCATATTGTTGATTCACATTGCGGCGAGAATTGTTTTAGGCCCAGCTCTTAACTCAGCGATGGGCGATTTCAGCCGAAAACTTGAATACCATGCCGCCAATTCTCAAGAAGCCGTGGATGACTATGATATCCCAATTGAGCCCGACCGTCGAACAGCAACAGGGTCGGATGTCACGAAGAAACTCGATCCCTGGGATCTGGACTAAACTATGTCATAATCCACCTTCGTCGTCTTTCCCTGATATCTATGTTTCTCTTGCCTATTTCTTTAAATACTGTGTTTTAATGCCCTTTCATTTCTCACCAGGCGCATTCCCGCTTGGGCGCACCGCATTCTTGTTCTCTAACGGCTCCTCTTGCATGATCTTTCCTTGCTGTTTCCTGTCTGTTTCTGGGCGATCGTAAGGCTCGTGGGCGGATCAAGTCTCGCATTGGATATGTACTCCCTAATGAAACCTGTACCTTTAGCGTGTATCATCGATAGTCAATATACCCGTTTCCTTTAAGAGGCATTGATACTGGACAAGGCAAACTGGGTCGAGACCGCCAGCAAACCATGTGCCATGACAATTAAGTACAATTAAGGTACCTTTACATACCACAAGTACTGCAGCAAGATCTATTGCAAAAGGACATAGAAAAAAGCCAGCATTAACGCCATAAATGCAAAACCCCAATATCAGCCGCATCACAGACAACCAAATCCCACGGTCAAGCCTTGGTAACCTTCGAAGCACCACCCTTTGCTTTAGCCTTCCCCTTTTTCCGATCCCGCTTCTTGAGCCCCGTCATACCCGCCTTGCACACCTCAGCATACCGCGCAAAGAATGTCTCGAGATCCTCCTGCGCGACTACAGTCGAAAGCTTGATCTTGGATGTTTTTGCGGCCTTCTGGTTCTGGTCTTTAGCTGTCTTGGGATTCGGTGCGTTTGTGTTTCCGTCTGTCGCTCTGATGAGAATAGGAGGCAAAGCTGACGAAGAAGAAGCCTCCTCTGATGTGTTGGTGTTGCTTGGGAGGAGGGGCTTTTGGGTGAGGAAGACTGAGCCGCGGGCTTTTTGGGAGGTTTTGGAGAGGAGCTCGGAGAGGGAAGAGAAGAACTGCGATGGATTAGTTACCATCCAATATCAGACCAGATAATTCTGTATAGGAATGTAAGGCGCAGTGGGTGAATTCCTACCTCTTCGTGACCGAGGTGTTGTGCCATTGTGATTGCGATATGTTGGGATGTTTGCTCGGGGATGTTTGTGCGATGCAACAGATGAAGGTATTCAGCAAAGACCTGGCTGTTGCAACGTATAGGTAAGTATCAGATAACGTCTCAATGAGATTCTAAGTATCTGTATCTCTCTCCGGCTGTCCAATGTCTAGCAGCGATCTCGACCCTCGTGCTACGCTGTCATGGTGGGGAGACAAATCTCCGCAACCTAGCCTACACCGCCTTCGCTGAGTTCCGCCTCCGCTCCGCAGCCTTTTTTTTTTGCGACGGCATAAAAATCACCAGCGGACATTTATTTTGCGACAACCAACGATAATCAATTAGTATATTTGTCGCGGAGATGAGACGATTTAGGCCAAAACACAATACTACGTCTTTACCCCGGACGCTTCGCGCCGAGCTGGGGATCAAAGATCACTACGGCGAAAAGAAGCATAAACGGAGCGGACCTGGACCGCGAAAAGACCGACGTCAAGCGGAACGGACAGAGAAGAAACGTGGACCTCCTCCAAAATCGAAAGGTCGACAATATGAGGTCGAGGACGATGATGATGATGAAGATCTTGCAGATTTTGGAAACGACTCAGATTTAGATTCGGATTTAGACGAAGATGTACCCCCGCCGAAGTCAAAATCTGCGAAACCCGAACCGAAGCCTAAGTCGATACTTAAGAAGAATCAGAAGGGAGTTGAGGAGTCCGAGTCGGAGGATGCCGCAGATACCTCGAGCGTAAAGCACCGCCAGGTTTCTCAGGTCGTGAAAGACAAGCTTGACGAGGACGCTGCTGAAATTGCGGCGCTGGAGAAAAAGCTGGGATTGAAGAAGGGGAAAAAGCTGCCAAAGTCATTCGAGGAGGACGGACTGCTCGGCTTGCTGGGAGATTTGGACGACGGGTCCGCTGACGAAAGTCGAAAGCGCAAAAGAGAGGCCGACGAATGGCTGAGGAACAAGAGAAGGAAAGCGCAAGGTCTTGTGCCAGAGGATGATTCGGAGGAGGACGACAGCGAGCTGGGAAGTGATGAGGAGCTTGGAGATTTTGACGACGATGAAGACGACTTTGACGATATGGATGATGACGAAGATGAAGATGAGGCGGAAGAGAAGCCTGTCGCAAGGAAACGGGAAAATCCATACGTTGCGCCTGTCGCTCCGTCGGCCGAGAACAAACCCAGCAAATATATTCCTCCGTCACTGAGAGCAACTTCTTCGTCTGAATCCGAGTCACTTACAAGACTGAGGCGTCAAGCTCAAGGACATCTGAACAAGCTGTCGGAAGCCAATCTTATCTCTATCCTTGGCGAATTTGAGAAGCTCTATCGTGAATACCCTCGACAAAACGTCACTTCAACGCTTTTGACGCTACTATTCGGTCTTGTATGCGAAGGATCCGCTCTGCAGGATACATTCATCATCCTCCATGCGGGCTTCATCGCTGCACTCTATAAAGTTATTGGGCCCGACTTTGGAGCTGAGCTTGTTCAGAAGCTGGTTGAGACATTCGACGCAGCTGGGGATGAGCGTGGCAAGTTCCAAGGAAAGGAAATGATCAACCTAATCTCTTTGCTCTCACAACTTTATAACTTTCATGTCGTCGGAAGTACCTTGGTGTTCGACTATATCCGGATGTTCCTGCAAGAGATCAACGAGGAGAGCACGGAGTTACTACTCAAAATCATCAGAAGTACGTTGTCATATATTCTTTGTCTAAGAATGTGTTACTGACAGAATTAGATTCTGGGCCCCAGCTCCGACAAGATGACCCCTCCTCCTTGAAAGACATCGTTCTCCTGATTCAACCTGCTGTAGCAAAGGTTGGCGAAGAATCGCTGTCAGTCCGGACAAAATTCATGATCGATACCATCACCGATCTCAAGAACAACCGTCTGAAAAACGCCCCTGGCTCAAGTGTGACCTCGGAACATATTACCAAGATGCGAAAGATCCTAGGCTCTCTGAACAACTCCCGTGCCCTCCGCGCCTCAGAGCCCATCAGTATCTCACGAGAGGACATTCACAATGCCTCAAAGAAGGGCAAGTGGTGGCTTGTCGGTGCAAGCTGGAAGGAAGACCCTCTCGTATCCGCTCGTCAGGAGCTAGCCAATCTACCGCAGGAGAACAAAGCTGCTGTCCAGGAAGAGGACAGCGAGGGCGAGCCCGATCTGGCAAGCATCGCAAAAGCACACCGCATGAACACCGATATTCGCCGCTCCATCTTTGTCGCCATCATGTCCGCAACAGACTACCAAGATGCCCACGTTCGACTGATGAAACTTCGACTGAAACGCGCACAGGAATTCGAAATACCGCGCGTCCTCACCCACTGCGCCATGGAAGAGGAGGCATACAACCCGTACTACACGCTGATTGCACGGCGGCTCTGCGGTGAAATGGGCCGCCGCATGAAGGTCTCGTTCATGTATACCCTATGGAACGGCTTCAAGCGAATGGGCGAATCAGACGATATGGACGAGGACGATGAAGATGCCGGATTCGGCGACGACAACGACGAGCGCAACCAGCTCTCGATGAAATCCGCCGTCAACCTAGCCAAGATGTACGCCAGCCTCATTGCCGACGGCGCACTGACGCTGAGCGTGCTGAAAACGCTCAACTTCGCCTACCTCCAGCCCAAGACAAAGGCCTTCCTTGAGATCCTCATCATCACCATCATCCAGCAGTCTCAGAAATCGAAACGAGTAAAGAAAAGGGGCAAGAAGGCGGACCAAGATGAGGAAGCCGAAAGGAATGAGAAGCCTTTGATGGAGATCTTCCTGCGCACGCGGGACACACCGCAGATCGTCAAGGGATTGATATATTTCATACGAAAGGTGGTTTCGAAGACAGATATTATAGAGTCTGAAAAGGAGCAGAAGTTGGTTCGGTGGGGATGCAGGGTCGCTGTGGATGCTTTGAAGGTTGTGGCGAATGAAGATGCTAGTCTTGGGTGATTGTGTGCGACACTCTCTCTTGTATATATTCCCATTCTCTGTCAGGATTCTTGGCCTATTTGGAGCACGGTGTCCGGTGCGGGTAAACAAAAGCATTGCATGAGTCTATAGATGACTGAAACCGATCATAATATTGACCGTTTGTACAGGAAATCTCCTGCCTTACAAAGACATTTGAATTGGCTGATAGTAAACAAGGGTATCTCAAGGCAAGCAAAGCGAAGCGTACATGAGACCATCTCAACCCTGGTCGATTAGTTCCCATTCCATCCCAACGAGCCATTTCTCCAGATGCTCGGTGCTTGTATCGCACAGAAGACTGCTCACAAGCTCTTCGTTCTCTTGCGTTTCGTCCCTCGGCACATTCCCCTCTAGATGCAACTGTTCCAAGCCAACCTCCCAGACCAGACTCCGAAACACTCCGATCAAATGACCAGTGCGAAGCTCAGGAATTTGAGTTCTTGCACGAGAGGACTGCGAGCTAGCTAGCCTAGGCGGACCAAGAAGGAGAACTCTCCTCGACTGCGAGTTTGCGCGTTCGGACTCGCCAGGAGGAGTGACTTGTACGCCATGTATATAAGCCAGTGGACCGGAGCTTCCCAGCGCAGACTGACGAACGTCAAGGATGCGAAGAACAAGGTAATACCGGCCTAGATCAGGTGGCCCCTGGGTCTGGTAATCCCTAGAAGAAGAATTCAGACGCTTCTGCATCTGTTCGCTTTTAGTTCCCGTTTCCAGGATCCAGCTGCGGACGTCCGAGGCCATGCCGCCTGGTAAGTAGTTTGCAGTACCGGATCGGGGACGGCCTCGCCGACGAAGAGCACGAGAGGATGGGGAGAATGGAGTTGGAATCATTGATTCGTCGTCCATCCGTGATGGAGACGGAGAGCGAGGCAGGACAAAGACTGGCTTCTGTTTTTGGGGTCCAGGGGTCGGTAATTGTGACGCAGATGGTGCCGTCAATTGCGACTGGCTGCTCAATGCTGGTTGAAACATCTTGAAGCGAGGATGGCCGCGGAATGGTCCTGTACTTGCCGGAGTCGCAGGCCTAGGCGTTTGCTGTGCAGCAGCTACGGTCCTCCGCGAAGCTGCTGTCAGACTACTCTGCTTTGGAGTACGGAATGGGATCGGCGACGAAGGCGGATCTGCCATGGACGCTGAAGTCTCCGGCGAAGATGTCAGGATCATGTATGCGTTGTGCTTTGCGGGTTGAGTCGTAGATGGTTCTTCATCCAGAGATATACGGCGTCTTTTCCTGCGATCCATTGTAGTCGGCCCGAAAAGCGCATCAAATGCGACATCAATATCGCCAGCATCCTCCGGCGGAGTTGTGTGGTTCGTCTCACTGTCAGATATATCATCGGTGGTTCTCCTCAGCCCCGAGTTGAGGAGATGTGTCGCATCATCTTGCGAGTCCTCGATTAATTCTCGTCCTCTTTGCTGCGGCGCGACCCGCGCCGTGGGGAGAGGCGTTGATCGCGGCGACTCCTGCGCATCACTAGTGTTGATCTCATCCTTTGCTTTTGCTTTTTTCGGATCACTCGGCTTCTGAGATAACAAAAAGCGAGGAGTGGATGCAAATTGAGATCCAGCACTAGGTCGAGCAGATGAACCCGGACGCGGAGGAAAACGGAACGGAGATGGTGTCTGAGGAACCGTTAGCTGAAGCAAGCCTTAACGAGGCATACCAATTCATCTTACTCCTACGGGCATCTAAAAGAATGCACGAACTAATGGTAGCTTCAATATTTTCGGAAATTGCGATGTATTATTGAATGATATTGTGATGCATCATACTGGTACCATCTCATTTGGCGATGCGCGACGGCCGATAGCCAGCGATAAGGCTTCAGGCATGTAGTTATTACACCTGAGGCACCAACACAAATGTCCTCTTCCGTGCCACACTGATTCTGCTAAACCAAACTTCTAACATCTCTCAAGAGATTTAGACAAGATATTACTGCTCAACCGCGGACTCTCCATCGACTTGTTTGTGCTGAAGACAACTACGTCTATGGCTAGACACGGAAAGACAGAGTCAGTAGATATAAGTGAAGTATATCACAAACTGTCCACCTTCTCACGAGACGATAGTAATGACATGGAACTCAGCATCAGAGGAACTCGAGCGAAAATTAGCACGGCCCGAACAGGCAGGTAGCTGCCCTGCTGCCTGATCGCCTGAATGTGTTCCCAATCCTTCTTTTCAATCCTCCTTGGCTCCTCCTTCATCACAGTGTCTCTCAACATTCGACAGCCGAGATACGCACTTGCCAATCAGACATCTGGTACTTGGGATCATTCGTCAAAAATTAGCACAGTATTTTAGCCAGAAGTTGCATGGTTTCGTGCCGTGGCACCGTTACGCTGCGGGGAGAGGGTCATTTTGACCGAACCCACAGGACATTCAGCGTCCTTTTGTTCCACTAAATTCAGACTTTGCTTTTCTGGAAAGGCAATATAACCGCAAGAGCGTATGATCTTAGAGTCGTGTTGACCGTTGGCTTATCTCGCAAAGATAGAATCGTGAATGTCATACTTTGCGTAAGTTTCTCTTCTGGATTCTCACGGCTTGGATGCCTACTAACTCCTCAATTGATAGAGTCCGCATTAGTGTGACGCACGATATGACGACGCTCTTGTTACGGCTGGCCTGATAGCATTGAATACTCGCTGAATATCAGGCTTTTTCAGCTCTTACTCTACTAGTACACCTTCCAGCATTTTAGACTCACCTATAAGCTTTGCAACCAGCGCAGACAAAGCATACAGCACCCGCTTGTTATCAGGTTCTGTGCAGTGTCTCATTGGAGTATTTGCAGCGGGGCAGCAAGCAGACCTTGTGGGAATGAGCTGCGAGTACGGCACGACCCAGACCTGGGAAACGTCAGGTCCCTCCTTTGGGACGCTTAGGAGGGTTAGCAAGACCCGAAAGTCGAACCTGGCCTCTTGGATATAGTCCGCAGATATTGGATGAGGGAAGATGCGATCTAAGAGACGCATTTTTATCGTCCAGGTTCGGTAGACCTATGCCATCGCTGGTGGTACTGAGGTACAGAGCGGGCCTTGAGAAGAGGGGACTCGACATGTCGTCAAATCGAGGAACAACTGAAAACAATGGAGTTCAGTGCGTCAAGCGCGCAATGTCGCTGCATTATTCACCGAGCAAAGCCATTCCTTGCAGCATGAATGTAAGGGGGTTAACCCGTTCCTGTTACGTGCAGATGGTTCCGCTCTGCAGAACGTGCCGATAACGTACCTTTGCGAGTCTACAACGTCGGTGTATCATTCTCTTAGAGTCTTAGTAGTCTCCTAGCGTCCAAAACTATTCGAAGGTCAAATCCCGGTGCCAAGGGGCCGGTTATGGAGGGTGTCATAGGTAATTGCAGTCGACTGAACAGCCATGGTGGAGGTGTTACTCTATTGGGTAAGCCCTCCTTAGCCCCATTTGTGCTTGGATATCAGGAAGATACTTTCCATCCACATTAATAGCCAGTAATCACTGGCCACGACGGTTACTTGCTTACCATAGCCTACCTAAGATCTTCGACGGATGGGGTCGATGACTTGTCAGCGTGGGCAACACCTTGATAATCACCTTCGCGTGGGTTTGGTTCGAATCCTTCAGCCACGCACTGGGGAGACATGTTCTGCGAACGTAGATGGACGACTGCAAACTGCAGGTCAGGGCGGCTATATTTGCTCAACTATTGTCACCAAGCCTATCAGTTCACGGGTGTTCCGTTAACCATGCAGATGTGGGATGAACATCGATGCACAAAAACTGAACAGGGGAATTGTGTGGTCAATTATGCATGAAGGCAACCCTTTCCTGACCCAGTTCCAAGGCAGAGGATTCGGTTTCCGCAGGCTGGGATACGCAGCACACCACCACGTCTGCACCTAAGCGTGTCGACGACGCCTAGCGGCAGGCTAAAGTACGGCCTAACTTTGACGGTTTCCAAATTGCACCTCGTGCAGACCGACAGAACTGCGGAACGGCAGAACGGCAGCCCCTCGGCCCCCCTCCACTCTCCCGTTGCAGGCATACATTGCAGGAGCATGCTGGTTGGTAGGATTTCATAATGGGCAAAAGGGAAGGAATTGCAGGCTGTTTTGCTGTGCAGTGCCATGATCCACTGTCCAAAAAATAGCAGACTTCCATATCCAACCGTTCTCTAGCTGAGCTACCCCTACGCGTCAAAGATACCCAAAACGGACCATTTTTGTCATGCAGATAATGATGTTTGGCTATAGATGGACCACATAATTTTGATATGGCAGGATACCGAAGGCCTGATTTCTTCATTCGGGTGTCTCAGTCGGAGTAGACTGACCAGAGCTGACTTATATCAAGGTCGCCATGAGTTTCGCACCATTCACTTCCAGCGTGATATCCACCATAGTCAACCTACATATCGGTATTCCCCGGTATAGTAACCATAGACCATCCCGGGTTTGATAGTCCCGGGGCTCTTTACCTCTGCACTATCCAGCAATGCATTTACACTTGCTATGTTCTCTTAACCAGCAATCCAATTCTACAGACGAGCACAAAGCCATTCGCGCCCGAATGCAAGATAAACACCCAGTCACAGGAGTTCACCAGGAGCTGCTGGTCACCTGGCGGCTCCTTTATGCCAACGCCCGTGAGGGACTTGTGCTACCTGTCGTTGGCATGCTGGCTCGCTTCCTGCCTACTCCTGGTCTACTTGAGGGCACCCCCTGGCTACAGCTCACGTTCGTTCTCCTAAAGACCGTCTTCCTCTTCATCTGCCATCTCTATGTCTTCGAGATTGTCAACCAGGTCACCTCCGTCGAGGAGGACAGGATAAACAAACCTCAACGTCCCATTCCCTCTGGTCTGCTCACAGTCGCCGGTGGTCGCAAGCGTTGGTCAATCAGCTGGATCGTCTGTCCCCTCCTGGCATATTACCTCGCGGGCTCCCAGGCCTGCTGCCTCTTTATCTGGTACCAGCTCTGGACGTTCTTCTGTTATGTCTGGCCAAGCATCAACCACTTTATGTTCCGCAATGCCTTCGCCTCCGTGGGGGTCTACAACATGTTCCGACTGATCGACCAGATTATCCACAGCGAAGTTCCATCCTTTCCTCTGCCGCCGACCAACTTTTACCTCGTCCTCTCAGCCTGGGTCATGCTCACCGTCCATATGCAGGAATTCCATGATAGCGAGGGGGACAGGAAGATGAACCGCCGGACATTGCCAGTCATTGCTGGGCCCAGATGGGATGGAGCTCTACGCTGGGCAACTGCTTTTTTGGTTATGGGGACGGGAATAACGCCTTTGGTTATCACCAGCAAGCTCTATTGGGACGGTGAAAACAAGGAGTTTCTCAACCAGCCTTGGATATACAACGGCACCGTCATCACGGCAGTACTGCATGTAATCTTTGCGTTTCTCTCGGGCCTTCGATGCGCGTTCAGCTGGGGGAAAGCAGCTTACGACCGCAAGACCTACAAGCGTTTCTACATGCTTGCGGCATACACCATGGTATGCTATCTATCCTTTGCCTATTCGACCGTGTGATGTGTTAGCGACCTGCCCACGATGTTGCTTTTTGTTTATTTGCATGTTATGTTATGTTGGACTAGGCAACATGCATTGGAGTTGGATTGAATTATGAAGTTGAATAAGTACACAGACGAACCTATTAGATTAGAGAATTGAAATGATAGGGCTGCGAAGTCTTCACCACGCAAAAGTATCCTGGTCATATCAGCGGCTGCATCCGCATAGTATCTCGTCTCGTCCTCGATGGAAAACATACCGTTGACTCAGCTTACCTTCCTTGTTGTTGATCGAGTGATAGACTTTGCTACTAGCGTAATCTCCGGGCAGGAATAATCCTTTAGGATCTCGTGCATCCTTTTCCTTTTGCACTGTAGGACGCTTGTACCAAGTACAGTTAGGACACTTAGAACATGCTTGCATAGCTGCTTTAAAAAGTTTATTTGGATATATTGTGGATGTATGTCGACGTGGAGTGGGACTGAGCTATTTATAGAGATTGTTCTCGTGAATATGTTGTTGTAGTCCAGGAATGATGTCGTGATGATACTTATATAATAGTTTTATCGACAATAATTACTTTCCATTAATTGGCTATAATATGGCAGTGATTAGTCCATGCGTTGTGTGAGAGGAAGTGATGATGCACTCTGGCGTGGCCGACACAACAGCTGATGTACAGTATATATCCTGACTAGGGCACGAATTGACCGACACTTCGTGTCACGCCAGCGAATACATGGCTCTACTGAAGCTGATCTTAATCTCAGGTTACAAGTATATAGGATAGAAGATTGGATATGAGATATATGCAGTAAATCTAGCTTAATCATATCATCATGCCAGTTTGGCGTCGCGAGAGTGGTGTCTATCCCATCAGCAACTATATACATATACAGATCAATTCTGCCAGAGTGAAAGAAAAGAAAAAGGCTTACGCAAAGTACTCATCAAACCTCTCCTCCGTCACCTTCTGACAATCGAACCCGTAAATCTCCCGCTGCACATCCGCATCCGCCCACTTATCCGGCACCGGCCCCTTGCCCTGCCTCAGCGCCGCAAACTGCCTGTCGCGCTCTTCCTTGGCAGCGCCCTCACCCAGATGCAGCGCCCGCCCCGACGCAGCCGCCAGATCGACCAGCGCATACGCGCGGTCCTTACGCACCTTCTCATAAACCTTCAGCGCCTTGGTGATGCTCTCCGGCGAGGCGTCCGGCAGCCGGCGCAGGGCGATGGCGATCGTCGCGCCGTCCTCGATGGCCTGCGCGGCGCCCTGCGCCAGATGCGGCAGGGTGGGGTGGCAGGCGTCGCCGATGAGGGCGGTCTGCTCGTGGACCCATGTGGGGAGGGGCTCGTGGACGCGCAGCTTCCACTCGCAGACCTCGCCTTCGGGGACGTAGTTGAGCATGCGCTGGACGAGGGGGCAGAAGTCGGCGAAGACGCGCAGCATGGCGGACTTGGAGCCCTTGGTGGTGTAGGTTGCATTCGTGGCGGCGGCGAAGTTGGTGTCGGGCTGGGTGGTGGAGAGGTTGTAGATGGTGTTGTTGGAGACGGCGTAGGCGATGATGTGGCGCCGCTCGCCGATCCAGCGCGTTACGCGGTTACCGTTGATGAGCGCCAGCAGCTCCGGGTCGTCCTTGCACTGGTCCTTGTGGATCATGATGCGGTATGCGGCCTGCTGCGTGTCCTTGACGTCGGCGGTGATGCCGAGTTTCTCGAGCATCGCGACGCGCGTCTTGGACTTGATGCCGTCGGCGGCGAGGAGGACGTCTGCCTCGACCTGGTAGGGGGCGCTGCCGTCGCGGGGGACGGCTGTAAAGGTTGCACGCGGCCCGAACGAGGTGACGTTCTCGGCGGCTGTGGAGAAGTGGAACTTGATTTGGTCGGGGTAGCGTAGATAGCCGTTGTACAGGCCGTTGGCCAGCGAGTGCCGGTGGCCGACCATGTGAGGGTATCCGTATGTTTCGCGAATGTAGCCGAGTTGAACGTGCGCGAGCTTAGAATCAGTAGCGCCAACTATCCCGGTTAGTAAGCACTAAGAAGCGCATGCAGTATGCAAATAAACCATACCCCGCACGCTTGTGTCCTTGATCTCTACAGCCTCAGCCTCGATCTCCTTCCACACGCCCAAGCGGTCCAGCACGCGGGCCATGTTGGGAGCCAGTTGGATGCCTGCTCCAACGAAACCCAGGTCGGCAGCGTATTCGAAGACGTCGATGTGCTTGAATCCTTCTTTGGCCAGCGCCAGCGCACAGGTCAACCCGCCCATACCTGTCGTCGTTAGCGCTAATTTATTCGGAATTCGTTCTCAGATGCAAGGGTAAATACCTGCGCCGATGATGGCGATCTTGAGATCCTGAGGTGTCTGCGCCATGGTTGATGTGCAGATTAGCTAAAGAGACACTCAGATGGTAGATCGAATAGACATCTCGAGCGAGTGAGATATCTTAAATAATGACCTTGTGTTCAGGTCCATCCATGGCTTGACTCTGGCGTGGATGATGATGGGCCGGTTGAAGTCTTTTCCGCGGGAACTCCCACAGTCCCACGTCCCACAGGTAAGATTATGGTTATTATGGATCGCTATGCCAGAATGCTCAGTGGCAATTGGTGATTTCCTGCTGGATCTCGGTGTTTGACTGACTCTTATTCGTCCTTTGATTTCGTGCGTCGGTAGCCAGTGCAGAAAGCAGAAAGCAGGAAGTCTTGTCCTCTTCCCCACGCCAGCAAATGTTCCCCACGGGGCGAATTTTCTCTTATTTCATCATTCCACAGATTCACAGCAGTATCTTTCTCGGAGATAGAGTCCTAACTAGAAATCCAGCCCGATCTCGGATATAATTTGATTCCTTGCTTGGGAATTCCAGCAATCTATCCTTTAGGATGTATACACACGGCATTATTATATGTTGATTGTCATAAATCAAGTATATAGCCTCAAATTTCAAGTAATCACACCAATTACAGAGTTATATCAAAGTGTACCCTATCTAGGCCCCATACCTCCCCAGTATCTAGGACCCTCCCCATTTGGTTGATTCGCATCGCGGCACTGCGGATGCTCGTAATCCTCCACTGTGCCCATTGGCCATATAGGCACAACACAGATCTCATGGTCGCCGCATCCAGTGCATTCTTTCCAGGTCGTCCATGACAGATACTCCATTAGATCGTTAATGTGCTTCACTGCTAGCCCGTAGTCCGTCTGGCCCCAAGCCTCCAGCAGTGTCGAGCAGATTGTCCGAGCAACGGACCGGACAGCCTGTGCAGCTACTCCTTTCGTCGGGCTGCGCGCTGACAGGAACTGCGTGCTACATCGATCTGCTTCGAGTGTAATGTTCCAGTCGCTGTAGTCGATAAATGGGCTAAGGATAATCTCCAGCTCCCCATGCAGCTGCTCCGTAGTCGACAGGTCCCCAGAAGCCAGGTACCGCAGCTCGTGTGCGTAGCGCTCAACTACCATATCCGTGACGGCCTGCCAGTCGAATGAAGGCTCACTCGCGTCGTGAGTCATGATCAACCGGTGTAAATCCATGCGGATGGGATCCAGGTCAGCAGACGACAGGTGTTGCAGTCGTGGTAGACTACGACCTCCCTCCGCCGAGGCGAAAAGGTCCAAGCCGTAGGTGTACGCCGTGACAAAGTGATCGTAGTTCAACGCTACCCTGTGTCCCCCGATCCCATGGTACCGGGCCGCAATGGCCTTCAACCACCGGTTCGCTCCACCCGGTCCTCCAGGCCCCTTTCCCTTCTCTTTGCCCCGGCCAGGTTCGCGTCCAGGCCCAGCCCCCGGGCCGTTACCGTCGCGTTTCGTCCGCACCACATGCAGCAGGTCCAAATCCCGAGCAAAATCACATAAGATAATCTCAAACCCAGCCTCCATACGAATCACCCCGTCAATCCGATCCTCCCATTCCTCCCTCGCCATCCGGCAGATCGTCTCCGCGCGCCTCTTTTCGTCTCGCATCCCGCCCCCCTGTCCGTCATCCAGCGCATCCCGCAGCAAAATGCGATCCTGAGAGTCGAGCGTTCCGTTCGAGGTCTTGGCGGCGGACATTCCATCGATATAGACAAGTCGCAAGTCCTTGGCAGCCGCGTATGTATGCAGCCAGCCTCCCGCATCGGGGTCATTGTCAGTCTCGCCAATCAGTCCCAGCAGCTTTTGGAACGCAGAGCCGCGTGGGCCATCAGGACCATGACCGTCAGGGGGAGGCCCACGACCGTGTCCGAGCGGTCTCGCAAAGACCATCGCGTGCTCGGGCTCAAAGGCGAGCCATTCTGTCCCATTCACTCGATCGCGCTGGTGCGTGCCGTGGTACAGCTGGGTGCCTGCAGGCACGGAGGCGAGGAAAAAGGACATCCCATTGTGATGGAGAGACGAGCCCCATTGTCTCATCGAGGAATGGATCGCGTTGAATATGTGGTTGGCATTGTCAGGGAATTGCGCATTGGGCGAGGCCGTTGCCAGACTGGCCAGGAGCGCGAGAACGCCCGTGTACCTCATCGTCTCGAAACAAAAATCCCAAAAACATGACCGTGATCATATCATCCAGGTCTCTTCATGACTTTTAAGGGAAAACGAGCTAGTCGGAAGTGGAATTTCCAGCTTGCGCCATCTTTCCAGCGCTACGAGCGGAAATAGGGCGACGACGCGTCAGCAGCGGGCGACGGCGACGTTGTTTTCCGGCCTCCTTTCGTCATCTTTTTTGCTTCAGTCGCAGGATATGAAGCGTATGGGCAGCCGATGCGATAGCAGCAGCAGTAGCAGCAGCAGTAGCAGCAGCAGTAGCAGCAGCAGTAGCAGCAGCAGTAGCAGCAGCAGTAGCAGCAGCAGTAGCAGCAGCAGTAGCAGCCCCTGCAGCAGCCCCTGCAGCAGCAACAATTGCTTCTGCCAACACTGTTGAACTTGTTGAACTCATCTCGCCTGCCTTTTGCGGTATTAGAAAGCCTCCTATATCGGCCATGAATTTATACCAGAGGAGGAATCAGGTGATCTACCACCTTACTAAGCAACCATACCTTGTCGATTAGCAGTAGAGAAACAAGGACGACCCTAGTTGCTTATATCGAGAGATTGCGCGGAATAAACCAGTATTATCGCTGTGGCCTGCCGAGGGATCTGATATCGGAGTTGCTTATACGGGGGTGTTGCCCACTATCTGCTTAGTCATGCTCTACTATATCTCACCCATCACCAACCCAAAACAACAACACTCTCCACAACCAATCCCAAGCCCAAAAACATGAGCCATCGCAGTCGAACTCTCCTCCTAACCCTCGACGCCTTCGGCACAGTCTTCCACCCGCGCCGCCCGGTCCCAGACCAATACGCCGAGGCCGCGCACGCCTTCGGCCTCCCCCGCTCAACCATCACCCCCGACCGCCTCAAAGCAGCCTTCAAATCAACCTTCAAGAAACAGTCGCAGGCCCGCCCAAACTACGGCCGCGAGGATGTCCTGCGCGGCCGGTATGGCGGGCCACGGCAGTGGTGGGAGGAGGTCATCCGGGGGAGTTTCGCGCAGGCACTGACGTCAAGGGGACAGGGTGGTAGCAGCGCAGTCGACGGGGGCGTGGACGTCACCGTGCCCGATGCGCTGGTGGCGCATCTTCTGGATCGCTTCGCGGGTCGCGAGGGGTATACGCTTTTCGACGACGTGGCGCCATTTCTTGCGGTGGTAAGGGCGGTGAAGAGCGGGCGTCGGCGGCTTGGGCCGTTTGAGCGCGTGCTTGTGGGTGTGATTTCGAATTCGGATGATCGGGTTCCTGCGGTGCTGAGGTCGTTGGGGGTGGCGGTGGGTGACGTGCGGGCTGATCAGGGGGTTGAGAGTATGCGGTTGCCTGGATTTGAGGAGAGGGATGCCAACCGCAAGAATGCGTCTACAATAGATCAAGTGGATGATGTCGATCTGGTGATTACCAGCTACGAGGCGGGCGAGGAGAAGCCGAGTCGGGTCGTTTTCGACGTGGCGAGGAGGCAGGCTCGACGCTTGCTTGGGGACGAGGGCGAGTCGGGTGACGACTGGGTTTGTGTCCATGTTGGGGATGACTTTGACAAGGACTATCAGGCTGCCTTGACTGCTGGGTGGGATGGGTACTATCTTCCTCGGGGGCCCGCTCATGGCACGCAAGGTAACAAGACTATCCACTCGCTTATGGATCTGATTCCAGAGCTCGAAGCATACAGATGAATACGATGTCTAGATCGTGGCTACCCAAACGCAATGAGAATTATACTCAATGCCATTATTCCAGGTAAGTGCAGAATGCCTCAACATATTCGCCTCTAACATGACAAAGCTCCTTATGCTCATGACCACATGTACCACATTAATCATACTGAAGATATGCACGCCACATCCGAGAGACAAAGGGTAAATAAATGTAAGCAGCTGTTTTCTTATTCAGAAACTATGTGTTTCAGGTTTTACCCTGAGTGTCCTTCAAAGTGACGATGCGATTCAAGACCACCTTGTCCGCCGTCGAGTCCGTGTCCACACAGAAGTATGCGGTCCGCATACCCTGGAATCGAATGGAGTAGGGGCTCACTTCGCCTCCCGTCTCACCACTCTCCTTGGGCCAGGGAGCCGACTTGGAGACATCGTGGAATCCAATGTCGATATAGGCGCCCTCATAGATCTCCTCGGAATCGGGGTTGATATCGGCCAGGAATCCGTCAGGATGGGCGTTGGGATCGTTGGACTTGAAGAGGGAGTTGAACGCGCGAACTTCGGCCTTGACGGGGCTCTTGTGGGTGGCCGACTCGCCAACCCAGTGGATGTACGTCTTGGTCTTCTTGGCAGAGGCGTCAGAGCCTTCTTCGGGCTTTTCGTAATGTGCGTATACGCAGGTAACCGCGCCGGTCTGAGGGTCCTTGTCAAAGGTGGTGGCGGTGATAGGGAAAGGCACCTTCAAAAGACCAACGGTCTTTCCGGGGGCAAGGCGGAAGTAGTCGGGCGAGTCCTCCTCGCGGAAGTCACTGCGCTCAATGTAGACGGTCTTGCTGAAAGGCACGAGATGGGAGCCGAAAGCCGGATCCTTGGAGAATGGAACCTCGACCATCTCCTCATAGCCGTCGGGCAGGTTCGAGATGACAACCTTGAGGGGCTCGAGAACAACCATCAGACGTGGCACGGTAGTCTCCAGGTACTGACGGACGATCTGGTCAAGCTTGACCGTCTGGACAATGGCAGTGGCCTTGGTGACACCGAGGTTGTTGACGAAGGAGAGGATGGCGCCAGGAGGAATACCGCGTCTGCGGATGGCGATCAGCGTGTAGAGGCGAGGATCGTCCCATCCCCGCACATAACCCTTCTTGACCAGCTCAATAATCTTACGCTTCGACAGCACGGTGCCTGTAAGGTTCAAGCGACCGTACTCGCGCTGCATTGGCCGATAAACATCCAGCTTGTCATTGAGCCACTCATAAGACTGCCGCGACATCTCGAATTCAACCGTGCAAAGGGAGTGTGTAATCTCCTCGATGCTGTCACAGAGAGGGTGCGCAAAGTCGTAGGTAGGATACATCTTCCACTGGCCACCAGTGCGAAAGTGGCCCTTCTCATCGACGTCCAAAACACGCCACGCAAAGATATCCCACATCTGGGGGTTAGGATCGTCCAAATCCATCTTCATACGCAGCGCAGCCTCTCCAGCCTTGTACTTGCCCTCGTTCATAGCCTCAAACTCCCGCAGCGACTCCTCAATGGGACGCGACCGGTGAGGGCACGCGTATCTCGCCTTGCCCCGCTCACCATCCGCCTCGCCACGCTGGGCCTTGATCTCAGCCTTGGTGCAGTGGCACACATAGGCGCCATCTCGTCGGATAAGCTCCTTCGCCAGCTCATACAGTCGGTCGAAATTGTCACTAGCATTAGTAATGCGGACAGGCTTGTACCCCAACCAGCTCACAATATCCTCAATACCACGATAGTACATCTCTTCCTCCCCTTCGGGATTCGTGTCATCGAAGCGCAGGATGCATTCGCCGCCATGGTACTTCGCGAACCCGAAATTGACCGCAATCGCCTTGCTGTGACCGATGTGCAGGAAGCCGTTGGGCTCGGGGGGGAAACGGGTCCGGATCTTGGGGTGTTTCTCGGAGATGGGCCGTTCCTGGTATACATCGGCAAGGAAACCGACCTTGAACATGGCCTCGGGGTCGAGAGAGCGCAGATCAACCGCAGCCTCTTTGGCGTTGGCGGCCTTGGGCTTGCCGCCTCCCTTCTTGCCATTGTTGTTGCTGTTGTTCTTGCCGTCGGGGTTCTTGGGTGCCTTCTGCTTGGGAGCTTTCTGCTTGGGTGCTTTGGCGGGCTTCCCTTCAGCGGGCTTTTCGCCTGCGGGGGCGGGGTTCTGCTCTGCTGGAGGAGCCGTCTCCTTTGGCCGCTCGGGAAGGGTAGTCTCTCCTGTTGACGCCATCGTTGGCAAAATCTGATTTTCCAATGTGCGAAGATCAGACTGACTGAGATAAGGAACGCCGCTGCTGAGGGGCAAAGCGTGCCTTTTTTGTTGCCGGCGCCGATCATAAGTGGGTGGTCCGGACCGAGAAATTATCCGCTGTGAGTGAGTCAACCATGGTTCTGCCTGAGCCGTCAGGCACCGAACCTAGCATGCTGGGTTGGAGATAACGGGAAGCGATGTCATTCGATCAACAAACAATCAAGATGAACTCAATTGCTGGGAATACTAGATTATCGCTAAACTCGTATCAAAGGCTATGTATGATATGCTCGTTCAAGACTCCAACCCATGACCTCGACCCAATGAAACGCCAAGACAAACTCAGACCAATACGCAGTAGCTACCTTGTCTCGGTACAATCTTTCATCACTCCCATCGTCCTGTTCCTCCCAGAGAACCAAGCCGGTTGGTGGCATGCTTGTTCAACAGAGCCGTAATGTTGGAGCCACCAGAGCGGTTCTTGGCCCGAATCTCACGCTCACGCTCCCTCTCTCTTGCGGCAGTATAGTAATTGACCGCGCCTTTCTTGGCAACAGACGCCCCAACAGCGGGTTTGGTGACTCGCTTTGACGAGTCCGACTTGGATGACGTAGAACTCGAAGACGAACTGGTTGTAGTCTTGCGCAGCATGGGAGGAGGACGGAAGCTCAAGTCGTTACCTCCACCGGCGAAGAATGCTAGACGGTTGCTGGAAGAAGCGGACGTGGCAGAGTTGGATGATGCCTGCCGGAGCAGTGCAAGACGGTCAACAACTGGACCTCTTGTGCGGCGTGGGTGGCTGGGAACAGCAAAAGTTTCCTTTGGCTGCTCTTGTGCTGAGCCGCTGTCATCTCCATCGTCGTGCTGTGCCTCATCCACATCATCGATTGACGCATCTTCGTGGAAAGAGTCATACTCGGGCGTCTCGGTCAAGAAAGAGACGGTTTCCCGGATCTCGGCGAGAGTGGCGGGCTTCTTGGATATAGCGCTCGCTGGCTTGCGACGTAAATGAGGCGGAGGACGGTTGTTGATGTCTTCTGCTGAAGGTTCGAGAGGTCTCTTCCTCTTGTTGCTCTCGTCCGCGGCCGACTGTTGCTGTGGTGCGTCTGATGCTACACCTTGAGACGAGTCCTCCTGGGACCGGGGATCTTGCTCGTCATCCAAGAAATCGAGACCGTTGTCGTCATCCAAATCGCGATCCTCGATCGCCTTGAAGAACGCCGCTTTCTTAGGGTTCTCGGCGATCTCGCCGATCTTTTCATCGGCAAGGAGAGCTTTTCGCATTCGTGCAAACTCCCTTTGCTTTTGCCGCCGACGCGCAAGCAGCTCATCGTCCGAATCATCCAGGTCGAATTCATCGTCTGCGTGTCTCCGGCGGCGGAGTGCACCAGTTGTGATATCTCTCATCAGTTTGGCGACCTGTTTTTCATCCGCATTTCTCTGGTGGAGCCTGTAAATAGGTCAGATTGTGAACCTCTGCAGACACGTCAATACGGGAACGTACGCGTTCAGAGCAGCCAGCTGCTTCTCGTCCACCGTCTCACCACCATTGTCATTGATCATCTGTCGATCGTAGGCATTTTCCTCGTCGTCACTGTCATCACTAGCGCCTCCAAGACCGGCATATTCGTCATCGGATTCTTCGGCGGCATCTTCCACAATCTCCTTGGCCTTGCTGGTCTTCGGGTCAAATGGAACATGGGTCTTCTTCTTCGCTGCCTTTTTCATGACATCAAAAGCGCTGGCATCGATCTCGAATCCTCCGTCTTCTTGCTCTTCAATCATAGATAGGTTTGCTGCTCGCCCACGCCGAAGATGCTTCGCTCTCCTGTCAGCAACAGGCGTGTTGCTCCGGGATTCGTTGTGTCCCACAAGCACGGTTTCGATAGTCGAATGGGGAGTTTCCAGAAATCTCTTGGACGGATCAAAGGGCGAGAGTACAAAGCCGGCATCCTGCGTAGGGTCAGGGATTTGAGAAAACTGCGACATGGCTCTTGGTGCTGGTGACTCAGAGACTCGGGTTTCGGAGTGACAGTAACCTGCCAGTATGTCTGTCGATTCGGCGCGCTGCTCCTGGCTATCCTTGATGATGATTTGAGAATCCGAATCCCGGCGGTTGTGGGTGATTTGTGCAGGGTCAGGCAAAGAGTTCGGAATAGCCGGCGAGCCTGCCTGGGTAACTGGTTGACTGGCCCCAAGTGTACCAGCAAAGGCTTGTGTGAGGCTCATTGTCAGTCCGTCAGAGGTCATACCAGGGAACTGAGGCCGTTCCACGGAGTTTACTGTTGAATGAGTCGGCTTGGCCGGTGTTTTGGGTGCCTGTTCTTCATCTTCGTCCTCGTCATCGCTGATTACTCGCGTTGGTCGCTTGCGTCGCGCAGCCGGCACTTCCGACTCATCTGCTGACATGACTTCGGTCTGTTCGTCCTCGGACTCCTCATCCTCACCAGCTTCGGAGTCAATTAATCCTTGCTCGTGCTCGTCGTCGTCTTCATCGTCTTCCTCATCTCCCTCACCATCGCCGTAGCCTTCTTGATCAGAGCCGGAGAGCTCAAAGTCCTCGTCTTCGTCGTCATCCCCATCCTCCGTTTCCTTGTTTTTAGACCCTCTCTCCTTCTTGGCAATCTCTTCGGCTTCTTGACGTGCCTTTTCGACAAGATTTTCAAGCTCGTCTTCCATAGCAGCACGCTCTTCAGCGGTCTCAATGATTACTCCCTTGGCCCGTAGCTCTTGTATCCTCTCCCGTCTTTCTTTGGCGGCTTGCTGCCTCGCCTGGAGCAAAAGCATGGCCGAGAGTTCTGCCGTGTTCATAGTCTTACTCCGCCGAGTAGGTGAAGTAAGATGAGCCAATGCTTTCAGTTTGAGCATAGACGCTGATTCCTGCATCTTCTTTGCCGGAAGATTTTCGAACGCCGCGATACGCCTGCATTTGGCTGGGTCAGTAACCACTTCCAGATCGTCATCTGAATCCTCCTGTTGATTTTGAGCGACGGACTGTCGGGACAGTCGCACGCGGATGGGAGGCTGCGTCAGAGCTTTTCGTGCGGGCTTCGCCGGCTCGAGGGGTTTCTTGTTTCTGTTCTCCTTCACTTCCACATGTCCAACAGTAACTTGCTGAGGTTGGCCTTGCGATCTAGACAACATCTCATCGACCGTTGGGAAGTCTTCCACCTCGAGCTCAGCACCACCTTCCTTGTTACTTTCATCCACAGCCTGACCGGACTTGAGCTTATCTGATGGACCAAGAACAGGTGAAGTCTGTGGCGTCTCTTTAGCTTTCTGGGCCTCATTATCCGATGATTGCTGAGACCCAGCCGTCGTGGACGAATTCTCCCCAGTCTGTCCTGCGACATTCGACTCCTCCTGCTGCATGAAGTTGAATCGCGCAAAGAAACTCTCCTTGGTTATCTTCTTCTTTGTTTGCGCCTGATGAGCCAGCTGCATATTCCTGCTGATCCTCTGCGTTTCGCGATTCATCTCTTCCAAAGCTTTTTTGCTAGCCTTACGAGCAGCGGGCCGCTTCTGTGTTAGCTTCCGTCCAGCTTCTTCGTCATCACTATCCTCCACTGAAGCAATTTCCGAGCTGAACTGATCTCTCTGCGCCAGCCGGGCGGCCTTCTTCTCCGCTTCGAGACGTTCCTTTTCTTCGCGCTCCTTCCGCTTCTGCATGATGAGCGCGCGAACGCGAGGGTCGGCCTTCAAATCCTCTTCGACGTCATCGTCCGCCTCGTCGTTTGAAAGCGCGTCATTACGTTGCGGCGCGGGAGAAGACATGAACAGAGGTGAGAAGGACCGAGCGCGAGATGGCGAGCGGGGCGTGTTGTCCTCGCCTGGCTCCGGTGTCTTCCTTGCATTGCGCCTCCTCCTAGGGCCAGCCGTAGGAAGATCATCCTCGTCCTCCGAAACAGAAGCAGGTTCATGACGCGCTTGCTCGCCTTCCTTGGATTGCTCTCTTTCGGCTCGTAGGAATCTCGAAACACGGTCGAATGCCGTTTGTCCCTTCACTGGCGGACTGGTGCTTATCTGATTCTGAGCTTGCATACGAGCCGCTAGCCGGCCCTTGGGCATCACAATGTCGTCGTCATCGTCCTCTTCGCTTTCCGCATCATTCATGGTTTCATTTGACTTGCGTATCGTTCGCGGATTGTTGCTGCCATTGTCTGGCTCTGAGTCGCTATCAAATGCGGCTAGGATGGCTTTGATCTTTCTTCCTGGTGTGAGGACAGGTGTGCCACTCTCAGACGCGGAGCGCGCCGTCCGCGGTGTGGACGGGGATGACATGTTGTGTTCGGTGTAACTAGATTACAGTGTTCATAGCAGAGATATCAATTGGTCATTGATGAATTTTCGCGAAGCCCGTGTAAGTGCTCCAAATTGAAGTAGGAGGGTGTATGGTGTCAAGCGACAATGCGAACCCAGGGCGGAGATAGTCCCATTTCTGCTTGTATCAACGACGCGCATCGCGTCCAAGCGCGTGGAGCACGGTGGTGTTATCAGCACGTGACATACGATAAGACTCTCTTACTGCCCTAACTGGCAATCCTTGAAGTCGGGACTGCCAGACAAGTACCTTAACCAACGGGAGTTTTAGGTTGTAAAATAGGCCAGATGCACCGGTTGAACGAAATATGGTCACTCCATACTCAACAGAAAGCCAAAAGGCTGAAAGCCCAGCCCAATCGCCAACTAGCTCTGTCAGACTCTGGTTCCGTGGATGGAACAGATCCCGCACTCGGCCGGTGTCTGGCAAGGTCAGACCTACAGAAATCATGAGATATTTGGAGGTTACTATGTGATTTAGCCGTATACTGATGACACCATTATTACCATCCTTGATTTCAACCTGATGCCAAGATGGGGTTTTTGGCGGCACCTCCGCGCTGCATCCCCAGCGATCTAGTATGCTTTTCATGGCTTTAATTTAGGACTGGACAATTGAATCAATGAAACTACCGAATTTCGTCTCCAAGGCATGATCACCCAATAGATCTGGCAAAATCAAAGCCCAAATTAACAGCCTACAGAAGCTGAGATCTAAGGCTGTCTCAGTGTCTCACCCCCCACCCAACCATTAACCAGGTGGCGCATAGCTTAATCGAGACAATCACACCGTGGGCCGACGACCTTATAATCGCGGGCTTCCGACCATGGATACAGACAGCAGACTAATCTAGACTGCAAAGGCCAATCTGCTCACATTTAAGCTTCACCACAATGTTAAGCTTAATGATCGCCGTATGGTTCGTGAGTTGATGCATGCGGATATTGATGAATGCGGATACTTCGGCAGTCTGGTACCAAATGTCTTTTGACTAGATGATCTCATGGTCAGACTTTGCCATCTAAACCTTCAGATTGTATCATGGATGTATGTTGGATCATCTGATCTTTTCTTTGTCTGCGTTGCTCTACCATTTTTTATGTATTTATACTTTGAGATTCGACCTGATCACCGAGCAGACGGATCTCTAGACGCCCACACCAGATATTGGTGAACATAGCATTCAATCAAGAACTTTTCGCCTTCTCTGGGCCTGGCTTCACTCGAGTAATTTCTTTTAAGACCTAGTCATGGATTCCAGCGGCGATAAACCCAGCTCTGTAAAGGACGCTTTCGCCAAGTTGCAGACTGCACCTCCCGTCCAGAACCGGGTTGACCTCTTTCGCAGGCTGATAAAGGATCTGGTCGAGGATCCAGTCGCGAACCCAAATATCCCAAATGCCCTCTTTGAGAAGAACTGGGCAAAAGATAGCGAAGTGGTAGATGAAGATTTCATTCGGCAGATCATCCAGAGCTTTAAAGCGACTCGTGGAGATCTATGGACGCACCTGCTCGGAACATGTACTCCCAACCAGAGTAAAATGCTCGAGGCGTTCACTGCAAACTCCAAGGTGCACGAAATTGCTCACCTTTTTGACTTCGGCTGCTCCAGAGCAACCCGTGAGGGTTTCCAGAATATGGAGAGAGCAAATCAGGTTCAACTTTCTCTCCCCCGAAACGTCGAAGGTGGCCGAGAAGCGTGGGAACAGAGGTTCAAGAACAAGCTGGAGAAGCTGTTCCACCTACGCGCTGAGACGACACCAGAGACAGTTAATATAGGCCTCTTTGAGGATCCCAAGCGCTCAACCCCAGTTCTGGTATTCCGCACCCCCTTCCTCCATATGTCCAGACCTCATGTTGCTAATAACCCGACAGACTTATGAGGGCGCTGAGTTCTCTAACTGGGGACGAACCGTCGAAAACCAGCCCGTCTACACATGCGTCCCGAAGACAAATTACGGAATACAGCAAATCGTTCTATATGCTGCAAATAACAACCTGGGAGTTCGCGTGTCTGGCTATCGTACGTGTTGTCTCTTGGGTACAGCTTTACATGATGACTGAAATTAATACTCTTCTAGGCCATTCTTGGTCACCAGTTTTTGCTCGTGACAAGGGATGTATGCTCATATCGACTCTGAGTCTACACCAGGCAGCACAACTTCCCAACGTGGAATCCCTTGATCCTCTTTGTCCCATTCTTTTTGGGGACAAGCCTACATTGCTCAATTCAATCACGGAACTAGGCCCTTTGAAAGAAGATCCGACCAAGTCACTCGTCCGGGTGGGCTGCGCGACAACCAACGAGCAGTTTCGATACTGGTGTGTAAAGACAAAGCGGGTAACGTTACCCCTTAATGTGATTATGGTAGAGATTACCTTTGGTGGTAGCAATGGTCCGATCTGGTATGTGACATGATCCCGTTTTCTGAAGACCGAAAGCAAGCCACACGCTGATATCCACCTAGCCACGGAGCTGGTATCAGACATAAGACACTGAGTGACCTCGTCTATGCCATCGAGTATGTGGATGTGCATGGTAAGCTGCAGATCATCACCCGAGCCGATGACGACTTTCTCTCTGCAGCCAGCGGTTGCTTTGGGTTGCTCGGGGTCGTCACCCATATCACCCTCGTAGTCGACAAGATGACATACGCGGCCATGACACCTCAGAAGCAGGCAGTAATCGATGCCATACCGCCTCCAGACAGCCTTCGGTCGCGCGTCCCTCCACCGCTCAACCAGCCTCGTACGCCCGAGCAGATCCGGCGTGCCCAAGAAGAATTCGAGAAGAAGGCTGCCGAAGAGTACTACGCAGAGTGGTTCTGGTTCCCCTATTCTGACGAAGTTTGGATCAATACATGGTCCACTACTCCTGATCCTCTAGGTGTGCAGGACTATCCGGATAATGAAGAAATCGCAGTGCAATGGCTTCAGGCTGTTGCTATAGAGGCTCTACAATACCTCGCCAAAGACACAAATACTGCGGAAATACTGCCACTGTTAAGGACTACTGCAGTTTGTAAGTGCAACTGCACTCGTATACTCGAGAGATCCACCTAATCCTATGAAAATACAGCGAGACTAGGCATGGCTTCCCTGCCTGCCGGCAAAGAAATCAAAGCTTGGCTCCCCGATGCGCTTCACTTCAGAAGAGCGATTCAAAACACACGTGTCCGGGATATGGAACTTGAGATACCCGTAAGATGATCGACTCTTTTCTCTGTTATTCTTTTTCTATAGTACTATATCCGTCGACTAGTCCCAGGTCAGGCATTCGCTAAATATACATGTTGCAGCTCCCTCATCAATCTGATAACCTCGATAAACCCGACTTCACCATCGTCCAACACGCCTGGTGGGAAGCAATCATCAAGGCGTACGAACACACAGACAAGTGCCCAATGCGCTTGCCTCTCGAGTTGCGAATTATGGGGGACAGTAATGTGCTGATGGCGCCTCAGCGCGGCAATCGTCTCGGCACAGCCTCAATTGAGGTCTTGACGCTAGAATCGGTCACCGAGTATTGGGATGCATTTGCGCAGGAGGTCCTCGACAGATGGATGGAGCTGAGAGAATGGAAGGGGCAAAAGCTCAACATCCGGCCCCATTGGGCTAAAGAATGGTGGGTTACCCGTCCCTCTCACTGTCGCACTCGCACCACAGCAAGTGTCTCGCTCCAGGATATTTATCTAACGGCATCTCTTATACAGGCAACAGTTCAAAGTGGATGGCAAGCCCTTCCGCGAGTATCTCAAGGAAGAGTGCTATGGCGATGTAATCCCCAAATTTAATAAAGTGCTTGCACAGATTGGTCAGACGCAAGGTTGGCAAAGGCAGGATCTGAAGAGAGTGTTCTCAAATGGTCTGTTTGATTATATTTTCTTTGATGATATTAATGCTTAAGGTATGCTATAAGATGCTATTTATTCTCCACTGTGAAATTTATCTATGTTGTGTTATATACTCCTGAGAAATTGTATAGCTTGAGATTGAGTACAAGTTCCTGCCTACTATATAAAGACACAAATTTTCATTCATGATCATTACACAACATGCATAGATCAGCTGCTCATGTATAATAGGTTCTAGTCAGGTAGAACTAATAGTCCGTCTGATCCTATAAACATGAATCATGGTTTGCTAGGCCTGGAGCTGTCAGAAGCTGTAGATCTGAGGTCACAATTATTATGTATAGCATGGATTGTCGTCCCAAAATATTTGTTCTCTGCGTCCCACGGTGTATCATGAAAAACGTACAAGCAAACGCTGGCGTTCTGTTCCAGCCTCAACTCTTCTTTCAATTTAGACACAGAGATGCTGATTGCATCTGTCATGTTCAATGGTTTCTTGGTAATAAATACAAATTCCCATGCTAGGTGTGGTATGACGCCAATGTTTAAAGCCCGCCCGTAGTAGCAAAAATACAGAAACCGACGCTGATCTGATGTAACACCTGCCTATGTTCAATCAAAAAGTCATGTCCGGTTCAAAGTCTTCTTCATAAGCCATCATGCTCTTCCGGCAATGAAAATTATCGCAACGATGATGGATATGGTCACAATCAGATTTCAATATCCAACTCCAAATCCAGGGCCGCAATATTCTCGTCGTCCATATTGCGATGACGGATCGAGGCAATGCCACCCTTCGACTGCTTCTTCTGCGCAGTGACGGCAGGCTTAGGCGTACCGGCCTTGGACGGCGTGTCAGACCCTGTACCAGGAGTCCCACCACGGCTGGAAATTGGGTCCGGTATCAGGCTATTCCCATTGGCATCGTAATGGGTCTTGGCAAGGGTTCGAACACGCATGAATGGATTGGCTTGAGCTTCACCACGCGCGACTGCTGCAGCGGCTTTCCGACTCGCCTTTCTCTCCTCGAGCWGGGCACGACGCACGCTTTCGGTGTTCAGTTTCTGATTGCGCAGGTTCAATTCGGCGAGGCGCTCATAATCCGACTTCTCCGTGCGAGGTCTCGATGGTTGCGTGCTGAAAGCGAGCTTTGGTCCCGTCAGCTCCGCCAGCTCCTTCTCCAATCGCGACACCTCCTCATCGTCACCAGCAGCTCTAGCCAACTTTAACTGTTTCTCGGTTTCAAGGCGCTTAAAGGTGCGCATCTTGTTATCCAGGGAGCCTTGTTTGCGCAACTTCTCGTTCAGCTCTTCCTTGGTAAACTGGTGGTTGATTAAACGGTTTATGTCTGCTACTTTTTTGGCAAGCATTGATCTGGTGGCCATCTTGCAATCTTCAACTGCCATGGTCTGGCGGTAGCGACTGAATTCCACCTGAAAGGCGTTAGTATAATAACGAGGGCTTCAAGATCAAGGAAATGAAAAGTTACCTCGGTAAAGGGTGAATCAGAGCAAGCTATGAAAGGGAATTCGCGCTCTGCTTTCCCATGCGCCAAAACAGCGTATTGGTTCGTCACAAACGACCGACCGTTCGGGCTTTCCATGGCGTAAGGTCGTCCCTCTGTGAATCCTGGAATGGGTCAGTACGACGAGTCTATAGGTGCAGTTAGAATAGAGATAAAGGGTCACATACTCTTGATCAAACATAGACGATATTCGTTGATACCAGTATCTCTGTTCGGTCCGATATTTACTCGAGCATAGCATCCGGAAATGGCTTCGTCGAATCCAGGATAGAAGCAAACTTGTGCGAAATTGGTACGTCCCACGCGAGCGCGTTGAATATCACGAAGGTCCGCAGGCGGGTCATCCTTGGGGGGAGACGGGGAGCGTTCGCGATTATCCCACTCGACCTCGCTTTCCCCTTCAGCATCCTTGTCCGACGGTGCTTCGTCCTTTGCTGGAGCTGCTTCACCAGCAGCCATATCACGACGACGAAGCTCATCGCGCTTGCCCTTCTTCTCACGCTGACGCTTGTATGCCTCAATGGCCTCAGAAGCCTCGCCAACTTTGCGCCCGCCAAGTGTGGTCTTCTGCCGCGAGCTCTTGCGCTGGCCTTCTTCCAGATCCGCCACGCTTGCCTTTCGCTTGGACTTTTTCACCCGCCGAGCCTCATCACGTTCGCGGGATGCTAAGAGACGACGAAGAGCCAGGTCCTGGTTGCGTCGGTCGACCTCTTGCGCTCGTTCAGAGAGAATCTGTTCACGCTGGATTTCCGGCAACGCCATGATTTCCTCTTTGTCTTTGGCAGAGTAGTAGAGTTTTTCGTAAGGAAAGATTGCGCGATCTTCTTCAGCATCCTCACTTGCTCCCTCGGAATCGGAGGCGGCGTCAGATTCGGACATGCTGGCGGACTCGAGTGAATGGTGAGATCCGGCATCCGACCTGGTGGGGCCAGTGTTGTCAGTTCCCAGCCACCTCACGCAAAGGACAAACTGAGGCCAAAATGAACACGAAGACAACGGCAAACCTACACTTCGCCATCCTCCTCATCACCGTCATCATTGCGAGACTTCTTGCTCCTTTTAATCGGTTTCGCCGTTCCTTTTCGTGCCATGGCTGATGACGGAGAGGCTAAAGGAGCAGGAGATTCAGAATTATGCTTGGGGGGTGGTGATGACTCCTCGTCAGAGGAGTCGCCCGCTAGAGCGAGCAGCTCGGCATCCAGATCGTCCGCCATAGTGAATATCGTGCAAAACTTTCACTGAAAACCAGGTGGCGTTCGACTCAAAATAGAATGGCTGGAGAGCGCAGGCAGGGAAAAGCCGATTCGAGTACGCGACAGCCCCCTAATTCACCGTCGCAATTCACAGCGAAGACCTCAGCGATTCGACCCTAGGGATTTGAACACGGGCACCGATATATAAATTAATCAAATAATTGGCTAGGGCGGAGCCAGCTGTATATAACAATCTCGCGACAGAAAAGAAAGCCCAAGCAGGTCGCGAGGATGGAGGTGGGTGGCGGATTACTAGTGAATAATGAAAGAGGACGGATGGCCTTGAGGTGAAGAGAAGCGATCGGACGGAGTGCACGGCGGCATCCGCACGATTTGGTTCGTCCATGACATTCCGGCCCCAGAGGCCCCGAGATTGATGCCCTGCCAAGAAGGCCGCAAGCGCGAGTCTGCGGCCATGTTGGACCACCTCGGGATATCCGGTGTATAAGTGTCTCATGCTTATAATCGTTGATGAATTTGTCCACTCGATTGTCTCTTAACGCTATTACTCGAGTATCTTTTGATGTTATTAAACCATACACAGAATGAATTCATTATCTTCCTTTCGAAGATGCGTTCTCAGCCGATCCCCTCGGTCAACATCCCCGTTGATGCTCGACTTTCTCGCTCCGTCGATTTTGCGCCAGAGTCGACCCCGGCACAGCTCTACAGCAGCATCTAATCCTTCGGATGGTGCACAACAATCCTCTCAGAATTCTGCCGCTGGATCCTCTCAGCCCACATACGTTCTGAGCAAGAAACAACGAGAGTACCTGGACAGCGCACTCCGAGTCAACCAAGCCGGCGAACTTGCCGCAACGCTCATCTATACGGCGCAAACACCCCAGGTCGTGCGCTCGCATCCCCACCTCCGACCCCTCATGAAGCACATGTATGACCAAGAAGCCGGACACTTCTCGACATTTAACAAACTTATTGCAAAGCACCGGGTTCGCCCGACGGCTATGTATCCGATTTGGGAAGTAGCAGCGACTTTCTTGGGGTGGTCGACGGGAGTCATGGGCCGGGAGGCGGCCATGGCTTGTACGGAGGCAGTGGAGATGGAGATTGGGTCTCACTATAACGACCAAGTGCGGGAGATTTTATCTTGGGAGGCAGATGCGAAGAGCCGGGGAGAGGAGCTTGATGATGAGCTAAAGGAGATGCTGGCAACATTCCGACGAATTCGTGATGAGGAGCTAGAGCATTTGGATCATGCCGTTGAGAACGATGCCAAAGAGGCGCAGCCTTATGATCCATTGGTCAATGTGATCCGCTTGGGCTGTAGAGCGGCCATCAAGATCAGTGAAAGGGTATGAAGAGATGGCTAGGCACTTTATGGTCATTGTTGCTTGAGGTCCGTCACCTTCGGCCAATTGTGCAATATGATTGCACGTGTACTATACTATCTGAAACAATGATACATGCATGAAGCTCGGTGCGGCAAGTATGATTTTAGAACTCCAGTTCCTTCAAGTCATATATTGATCAATCATATCTATATGTTATCGGGTATCACTCAACATGCAAGAACGCAGTATGCCATCCTCAAAAGATCAGGAATCACTCCTCAACCTCGGAGCCCTGCTTCTTCTCCAAATACTCTAAAAACGACTTGGAAAACCGCACAACCTGCTGATAAACCTCCTCGAACCCATTAACACCGCCGTAATAAGGATCCTGCACAACTTCTCCCCCACCAACTCGGTCATGGAGAACACCGCCCGGCCCAAAATCACCAAACAACCTCACCTCCGCGACCTTCGCGCCGGCACCTCCGCTCGACGCCCGGGTACCCTTGGGGCCTCCAGACTTCCGCAAAGAAGCAACAACCGATTCGCGCACATCCAGTAGGTCACGCAGATTGTATTTATCCATCGCTAGGAGATAGTCAAAGTTCAAAAAGTCATCCTTGGTGATCTTGCGCGCCGCGTGATCGTAGTTTGTGATGCCGTGGCGGCGGAGGGTGGACATGGTGCGCGAATCGGGGGGCTCGAGGGTATGGTAGGCTCCTGTGCCTGCGGAATCGATCTCATTTATCAATGGATGGCTACTTGCCATGTTGCGGAAGACTCCTTCTGCCATGGTGGAGCGGCCTGGTGAGGGGAATATTAGATTGGAGTCCGGAGGTGAGTGGCGGGAGGTCTCGTGCTTACAGATATTCCCCAGGCAGACGAAGAAGACATTGACTTTGTCTCCGGGCGAAGGAGACTTGGCGGCGGTCATTGCTATCGTTATCTGATGAGAAGTTCCTTGGTGATTGAGCAACGACTGTGACCGGAGCATGTATACATCCCCGATTAAAATGTTGCAGACCCCGCCACAGCGATAAGAATTCTGCCGCTTTGCACCGCCTTCAGCCACAAGGCATTCTTATTGAACATCCACCCGTTCATCGAACAGAGACTTAGAGTAGTGCATACTATGACGAAGCTTTTGGTTGATATGGAGCTACGAGAAAGATCGTCCCCGATAGAATAAAATACTGATGCCTAAGCTACTGGGACGAGTAAAAATTTGCAATTGTGGTTCAAGAAAACTTGCGGTAGAGCTCTTTAATATGCTCAGCATCTTATATATTCCTGCGAATTCATGATTATGTTCAAACAAATAGGGACTTTTCCCGAAATCCAAGTGTCTGTGACGTTTATTCAAACAATCATTACTGTCGCCATCTTTATTACCATGAATACGATCAATTTCTTCGATTGCAACTAGTGATAAATCACAGTGTGGCGCACGTTTATTTTTAGAGAGCTGAGCCATAGGCGGGCGCATTGGGGGTGTGGCGCTGTGGCAGTGACAGGCACACTGGTTTCCCGTTGGCCCAGTGACCAAGGATTACTACCAGTCTCTCCACTATAGCCCATGGACCAAGGCAACTATATCCACGGCTTGATTGATGAATCGAAGTCGATTTTGATGGTTGGATCAAGGTGAGGGAGATACATGCAAATCAATGTTCTGCAGCTGCATGATATATGGTGCAGATGTGCAGGTTTCTCATTAAACAGGGACTTATAGAAGCCTTCTACTATGAATGAAAGGATAAGCATATCAGATAGCTGCGTCACTTTGTGGGGCATACTCCGTAGTCTAGTCCTAAGTAGTAAACAGTGCGTGCACTTTTCTACTCATCATCATCAAGGTATTATTATTCTCCCGAATTTTGACATCCAAGAAGAGTGATCATCCGTCTCTTCTGATTTCTTGGTTAACGCAGAAAAAAGCCAGCCAAGCAAAGCCTCTTTTCCTTCACTCTCAGCTTATAACTTTTGCTTCTCCTTCTTGTCCTCCCCAGTCCCCCATCCTTTACAGCCACCACTAGTGGCGTCACAGGTTTTGCGCTCAACAGGCAGCAGTTGACAGATGAAAAAGCACCTTTATTCGCTCAGCATCCTTGATCTCTTCATTCCCTTCCCTGCCATCTGTCTTGGAAGTCGCCAAATTCCCCGCAAGCCCCAACAAATTATCGAGTGACTGGGCGCTTGACCTCATTCCACCGACGCTCTTGGCGCATTCCCAATCAGACACCCCTTGCCAGGAATACAAAGGGGTAGCTCATTCAAACGATCAAGATTCGGAGATCCTATCCTCACAATGTCCTATAATCGCTTAGGTTAGTCCAGAATTTGTTTTGGTCCGTGTTACGCTGTTGTTATTGCAGGGCTGCGGGATCCGTCGCATCTCCGCATTCACTGTCTTTCTGAAACATAGCCCCCGATAAAGCGACTTGACGAGATTAGCCTCCATTGGCATTGCGCAAGCTTCTGGCGATCATTCTGCAATTGTTTCTGCCTTCCATTTCGTATTTTGCTTTAACACTGGTCATCACAAGCTCAATTCGGTAGCCATTCCAACTGACATTCGAGCTCTGTAGACCACCACGGGGAGGATGGCAATCACTCTCCCAGCATGAACCCTCATCATTTGGACGATCGAACGGCGTCGCCCGGCCAGCCTTTGAACGCTTACCAGCTGTCCGATAATCCATACGTGCATGACCATTTGCAGATGCCTTCCAGCGACCGTCTAGCGGAGCAGCCAACTGTGAGAACACCATCCTAGACGAAGCGACTGTGACTGTTGAGATTGACACGAGATACTAGTACTCGGTAGAACGAATTCCCAACTCCTACGGTCATAATGAAGCCTACGAGCAACGTCATCCTGAGCAATATCCCGGCTACGAATATGCTGTGAACCCGGAAGCTCATCACGACGCATACTATACCCAACCCTACGAGCCAACAGTCACGCCGCAAGATGATTATGATATAGGGCAGTATCACGAGCAACAACAGCCTTACCAAGATGACCGAGTGCCCATTTTACAACCTGATAACCCGTTCGGTCCGGACCCGTACAGTGATGAGTACCACGACGACCCTGCGGCTGCGCCCTCTCCGAGTCCGGCGCCAATACGACGCTGGAAGACGGTCAAGGAAGTACAACTCTTCCACGGTAACCTGGTCCTGGACTGTCCCATTGCGCCGAAGCTGCTCAGTCAAGTTCCTCATGCGGAACCTCCTGGCCGTGACGAGTTCACTCATATGCGCTACTCGGCGGCAACCTGCGATCCTGCTGATTTTTACGAGGAACGGTTTACGCTGCGCCAGAAACTGTTCGCGAAGCCTCGACACACCGAGCTTTTCATCGTCATTACCATGTACAACGAGGACGACTTCCTTTTCGCTCGAACATTGACCGGCGTGTTCAAGAACATCGAGTACATGTGCAATCGGACGCAAAGTAAAACCTGGGGCAAGGACGCATGGAAAAAGATCGTCGTTTGCGTCATCAGCGATGGTCGTGCCAAGATCAACCCCCGGACACGGGCTGTGCTGGCCGGTCTCGGTGTGTACCAGGATGGTATCGCGAAGCAGCAGGTGAACGGCAAGGACGTGACAGCACATATCTACGAGTATACTACGCAGGTCGGTCTCGAGCTCAAGGGAACTCAGGTACACTTGAAAGGGCGCTCTGCCTGCCCAGTCCAGATGATTTTCTGCTTGAAGGAAAAGAACCAGAAGAAGATCAACTCGCATCGTTGGTTCTTCCAGGCCTTTGGCCGTGTATTGGACCCCAATATCTGTGTGCTTCTGGACGCAGGAACGAAGCCTGGTCGAGACTCCATCTATCAGCTATGGAAGGCTTTTGACGTCGAGCCCATGTGCGGAGGAGCTTGTGGTGAGATTAAAGTCATGCTGTCGCATGGCAAGAAATTGCTCAACCCGTTGGTGGCCGGGCAGAACTTCGAATACAAGCTCAGCAACATCCTGGATAAGCCTCTGGAATCAGCATTTGGTTTCATTTCGGTTCTGCCTGGTGCTTTTTCTGCGTACAGATACGTCGCGTTACAGAACGACAAGAACGGCCAAGGTCCACTGGAGCGCTACTTCCTGGGTGAAAAGATGCATGGCGCCAATGCCGGTATCTTCACGGCCAACATGTACCTGGCCGAGGATCGAATTCTGTGTTTTGAGATTGTGACAAAACGCAACTGCCGCTGGCTCCTGCAATATGTCAAGTCATCGACCGGAGAGACCGATGTGCCTGATCGAATGGCGGAATTCATTCTACAACGGCGCCGATGGCTGAACGGAAGTTTCTTTGCTGCCGTTTATGCGATCGCCCATTTCTACCAGATCTGGCGAAGCGACCACAGCTTCATGCGCAAGTTCATGTTGTTGATTGAGTTCATCTACCAGACTATCAACATGATCTTTGCATGGTTCAACATTGTATGTGCCGTCTTCTTCTTGGCAGAACGAGCCAATGCTAACGTGAATCGCAGGGCAACTTCTTCTTGGTCTTTCATATTCTCACCACCTACCTTGGTGACGCTACTCTCCTCGGGACAACCGGTAAAGTTCTGGGAGTTGTCTTCGAGTGGCTCTATCTTGCGACCTTGGTGACCTGCTTCGTTCTGGCCCTCGGCAACCGTCCCGGCGGCTCAAACAAGTTCTACATGACCATGGTCTACTTCTGGATTGGCATCATGATCTACCTGACCTTTGCAGCAATCTTTGTGACTGTTAAATCTATTCAGACGGAAGTTGCTGATAGTTCATTTACCGTCGGGCAATTGTTCAGCAACAGCCAATTTTTCTCGATCTTTGTCTCCTTGGGGTCGACTTATGTCATGTGGCTTCTGGCTTCACTTATCTTCTTCGACCCCTGGCACATGTTCACCTCCGTAAGATCTCCTCCGAACATTGGCTAATATGAATCTGACATGTATCAGTTTATCCAATACATGCTGCTTACGCCAACGTACATTAACGTGCTCAATATCTACGCCTTCTGCAACACCCACGACATCACATGGGGTACCAAGGGAGACGACAAGGCCGAAAAACTGCCTTCAGCCAACACGAAACCCGGTGGAAAAGTCGATGTTGATATTCCCCAGGACGATGGAGATCTTAACGCGCAGTATGAGGCAGAATTGGCCAAATTTGCACAGAAACCGCCCAAGGAGACCAAGGTCATTTCGGAAGAGGAACGTCAGGCCGACTATTACAAAGGGTTCCGAAGCGCGGTCGTGCTCGCTTGGGTGTTTTGCAACTTTGCGCTGGGCGCTGTTGTGCTGAGCGCAGCTGGTCTGGAGCGATTCAGCACCGACACCAGTACGACGGATGATACCAGGGCCACGATCTACATGGCTGTCGTACTTTGGAGTGTGGCTGGTCTCTCGATATTCAAATTCATCGGGGCAATGTGGTTCCTGATCGTTCGTATGGTATGTTCAAGGCATTTCGACGTTTTGCATTCTGCTTCCAGGACGCTAACCATTTGTACAGTTCCGAGGCGTTTGATGTTATTCCTCTAGCTTTTCCTTCCCCTGTGATGTATGCCCCCGGCTCTATACCGACGTTCGGCCATGATACCACTGCGGGCTCAGTATGGTACCTTGGATGACGAAGACATGTTTTATGATATGGAGCAGTCAATGATGCTCCTGGTGCTTATTTGCTTGATTCTGCTTCGTTGAAAGACGATTGCGATGTATGATGTAGATACCATTTTGCTCGGGAGGCCATACAGGGCATCATACAATGTGTGGTGTTGTGTTAAGTATGGGATGTGTAATCATTACGCTTATATTGTACTTGAGATGTAACATCTAGACAATGACTCATGCTATGCCTTCACTCAGTGTCCTTTCGTCTCTCTTTGATCTATCCTTAAGGCTGGATGTTGGCGTCTACTCTCAGTTTCCCATAGACTCCATCCTGGCCCCATTATTGGAGGATACCCTTGCTGTACATATGATTTTATCCTGTTCTATATCCATGATCCTTTTGCTGACGGACTCTCCCCTGCTTGACGTGTTCTTGCCCCGGCTGGTGATATTGGTCTCCCTGCTTCTGATTTTAAGGATTCGTCTTTCCGATTCTATCCTCATTTCTAACCTCGCTTCACCCTTGAATAACAATCCTTATTAAATGATCGAGGTTTACATTTATTCCACCGAGGGATATAGGTTTGTGAAGGGGTACTCAGTGCGTTACGGGAAAACGTCATGACTTGAGAAAGCTTAATAAAACCAAACTAAGACAGTTTTCTTACCAAGAAGCATCATTGGTCTAGTGGTAGAATTCGTCGTTGCCATCGACGAGGCCCKTGTTCGATTCACGGATGATGCATTTACTTTTTTTACCCGCCATTCTTACTCCAATCATTTTTATATCTGAATCTGCTTATTTACTGCATTTTATTTACACTGGACTATGGCCAATTAACTCTGGTTCTTCGAGTGCACACAGATCCCAATGCCGCCCAGGACAAGCGCCATACCCAACCACGTCTCTTTCTCAATGACCTTGCGCTCGACATACCACTCCCCGATGACGGTGAAGAGGAATGCACTTGAATTCGCCAGTGGGACTGTTAACGATAATTCTATGAAATATCAGCAGGGACCACAATACTGAAAAAATAGAGAGACACAGAGTGGTGAGAGAGGGAAGACAAACCATGCTTCCCAACCAACAAAAAGAACCAAATACTCCCCGTCAGATTGATAACAAGCGGGATGGAGTACGCCGGCGTGCGGAGGAGATTGACAACCGTCCAGAAGACCGTCACGACCTTGGTCGTGAGCCATGAGGATGTGGACTTTGGTTTCATCCACGCCGGGACAGGAGAGCTACCTCCTGCAGCTGCAGCTGCCGTTGTTGATCGCGCATTCGGTGTGAGAGGCTGGTCTTCCTCTCCTGACTCCGATTCTTCTTCCTCTTCGTGTTCATCTCCATTCTTCGTTGTGCTGGTTGCGGGGTGGCTTTGATCCTGTAGCTCCTGCTCTTCCGTGGTGGACTGTGCTGATTGTGTCTGTGGCACCGTCGGTGACTGTGGTTTCTGGAGTGCTTCCTGCCGTGCGTTGAAGTCCGCTGCGGCGCGACGGATGAACGGCGTCGTGAAGCCCCATGCTACGCCGACGAGGAGGAAGGAGAGGACATAGTTGAGGACGGATGGGTCGTCGACCGGTACACTTGCGTCGGGGTCCATTTCCCACGTAGGTTTCTCCGTTGGAGATTTGTCCGACGATGGGTAGGTAGATAAGAGCTGGGTGACAGCTGTCAGGGGTAGATAAGATGATTGAATGGCCGGAGATGCGCCGCTTCGGAGGATCTGATAAGATAAGGGTTGGACAAAGGATATGTCATCCTGCATCCATCTACCTCTCTACAGAGGAGCTAAATTCCTGATAAAAATCAAAGACGCCAGTGCTCCCATCTGAATCATCGCAATTAAGTAGGAATAAAGAAATTGCATTTAACGCTAATATCGTGTCATGATGGAACGATGGTCCGTCTTCCCAATGGTATGGTCACTACCTACTAAGGCTACTCTTGGCCTAGAATCGCCTTGTATGAGCACATTTTACTCCGTATACCCAGCAAATCAAACAAAGTGCGCCTAGTACTCCAGATTCTGATGCGATAGCCCGAGGGGTCAGCTGTAGAGAATGATGAACAAAAAAAAAAAAAAAAAAAAAAAAAAAAAAAAAGAAACGTCAGCGATAGGACTCGAACCTATGCGGCCGAAGCCAAGTGATTTCTAATCACTCCCCTTAACCACTCGGGCACACTGACTGTGCTTATAGTCTTGCTTTCCTATTCTATTTTCATCAGCAAAGGAGATGGACAACGTCGTAGTATAGTTGACTCGTTGGCATATTCCTCCACGTTTCAATTACTGGGTATGGGCAAATGGAGATCGAGCCTGCTGCCGTACCTGCAGGGAACATTACAGAAGGATCAGCGGCTAAACGATGATTGTGGCGCAGACACAACCCAGAATGACTGGCTTGTATAGACTGAGTCTGGGTAAGCATGGCACGGGCTGCATGATATCCAGACATGAGCAGCGCATACCACTTGATTGTATACCCACTGGCAAATACCTGGAGTGGCATCCCCAGCGAAACGGTCACACCATTTACGTCGTGTGTGCGAACCCTACCGGCAAGATATTGGACGCAATATGGAAGTATATGCAGGATTGGCGTTTCAGCTGTCTAAGAAGCCACCTCGAACAAATATAAGGATAAGGTATATACAATTCCTGGTCGTCTCCTACCGATACAGCTTGGAAAACTCCCCGCCCTCCGGAGGCTGCAGCCAGTTCCTCTCATCATAGTCCCAACCGTCCGCACCCTCAATGACATGGAAGGTATACGCAAACCGGCTGCGGGGGCTGGTATTCTTCTCGCTCATATGCAGCACATTCCCATGAATCAGCACCAATGACCCGGCCTTGATATCCAGAATCTCCAAATCCTCATCCTTGACCTCCTGACCCTGGCCCTGACCGTCACCTTCCGACCCCCTCGGCACCTCAGGCCCATCGTTCTCCACAAACTCCGTCCCAACGACCTTCCCATTCTCCCCGATCTTCCTCACAAACCGCCGCTTGATCCCCTGCCGATGCGAACCCTTCCACATCCCCAGCGTCGCATTCCCACGCCCCGCATCCTGCAGCGCAAACCACCACCCCACGGCCGATGGCGGCCTCGTATACAGAAACTCCGAGTCCCGATGTGGCGGCACCGCGCCCCCGATCCCGGGCTGCTTGCAGATCACCATACTCTGCAGCACGCGCGGGTCCACGAACCCCAGAGATTTGGCGATGGCGGCATTGCGTGCGCTCAGGGAGACTTTCTCGAAGGGCGGGGAGAGCGAGTGTAGCGCATGTCCGATCTTGTTGATTGCTTGCTGTTTGGGCTTGAGGAGGGTGGGTTTGCCTGTTGCGGGGTCAGGGGTGGAGAAGGCGTCCGGTTCGAAGAAGAAGCGGATCTTGTCGCCGGAGTTCAGGAAGTAGTCATCGCCGACATGGGGGTCGTTTTTGTTGGTTTCGTCGTCGCCGGTGGTGAATTTGGTGAGGGGGTGGGATTCTAGTGGGAAGTCGTCGAGGAGTCTGTTGGTCTCGGTTAGGAGGGAGGTGATGTCCTCTGGGGAGAGGAAGTCGGGAATGACGAGGTAGCCGTTCTCATGGAAGAAGGTGAGTTGAGAGAGGGTGAGGCCTTCCATGGTTTAGACGTAGAGATTGATTGCTGGAAAGAATATCAGGAAGAAAGTGGAAGAAGTGGGATGTGCTGAGGGGAAAAGTGCGGGGAAAATGATGCTTAAATAGTGAGCTTATCAGTATCAGTCGGATATGCCCGAGTTGATCAATGATCATGACACGTTGACAGCAAATAGAAAGATAGAATATGAATCAACACCATTGTTTAATTTGTAAATACCATTATATGTGTTGAATACCCACAGATACCCTCTGAACCCAGCCCCTCTCATGGTATCCCTGCATGCCCATATCTTAACTAATAACATATTTCCTTTCTGGGCTGGATCAAATGGCATATAAGAATAATGATGCCACTCCCCCTGTATCCTATGTCTGTGCATGAATAAGTAGCTTATAGGCATCTTTGTTAATAGCCTACAGTAGCCATACTGAAATATTAGCACGCCCAAGAGAGGCTTTTGTGAATGACCATCTCCACTAGTTCCTGTTGTATTATACGCACGAACTAGTTAGCATTATGATATTATACATTCAGTTCCACCATATATTTCCTTCAATGTAGTACAGAGATACTACATACTAGGTAGCTTCATCATTATACATTCAGTCTCCCTACATTTCCTTCAATTGTAGTATAGAGATACTATGTTAGTTTTTAGTAGATGGATATCTCAGGAGACAGTGCCATGGTTAATGGCGTATCTAATCAAGCAGTTGCCATTTTCTGTATAACATATCAGCCTGCCCATGCTTAGGGGAATGACTGTCCTTTCACCAGCAGACCCTCGTGTATAAGTCTGTTGATACACGAATCAACATTCATGGCCATTTGCTTATCAATCTGGAATGATTGATATCTGAATTCAAGTGCTGTGAAGAGATGCATGATGCCATGTCTGAGGGATCGTGCATTAACTGCACTGTTACATTGAGTTTCAAGATGATTGCTGTCTATAATCAGTAACTCACTTTGGATGTATTATCTCTCAATATGAGTTAAATCTGTTTTCCCAACGAGTTACCAACTGCTGAGTCTGTTTGGTCCCTTTGTGAGGTCTAATGTGAGGTAACGGCGTTTGCTATGGATCCTGTCCTCTTGCGAAGATGCTTTCATAGCAGTTATGGAATCAAGTCCAAGGAGGCTCTTTTTTCGAGGTTCGATAGGACCAATCTCGTCGTTGCAATTTTTGGTGTAAGGATGAAGTGCGAGATATTGTGGGACAGAAGAGCACAGCAGAGGGGATCACCAGCGGTGTAGAGGTTTTCTGGGTCAGGCCCAACATAAAGCATCTTGTCGACTATTCGACTGCGATGCTGGGAGATTCTTCCCTCGGGGTGGGTGGTAAGCTCTTCCACAAACGCCGCTCCGAATAAAGAGCACCGGTTTCGTTCCTCACCAGAGCCAGTCCATCTTAGAAGGAACTGAATTGTCAGACATTGCTAAGGAAAATGGCTGCGGAGCCGGGCGGGCAGGCAGCAAGCAGCAAGCACAACATATGTTGAAGGGCGGACTTTACGACACAATCAGTCAATAATTGCTCATTTTTCAGCACTGTGGGCATGGTAACTCTAATGATCACTGTCGCAGGACCCAAGCGACGCGTGGTGAGGGGAGGAAGAAGCTACAGCCATGCTATTAGGACTTGTCTTCGATGATTGTGTGTCCATTGAAACACGTCGATCACTAGGTTCCGGCATAAGCCTGAGTTTGCGGCGGTAAGGTAACGTCTGGCCTCTATAGACTTACAGGATATACGGCTCGACGAGAAATTTGCCTGACTGGCTTATATTGCCACTAGGTTGTTCGCACGGCCTTGATTGGCGTTTGTCCAAAGGAGGTCTCCGAGGCTTACAAGTCGCAAAGAGTATCCAGGCGAGGACGGCATTGCCGACCCCCTCAATGTGCCATGGCATCTTTTGCAGTAGCAACGATACGACAAGTGGTAACGTCTGTGGTGAAGTCGTCTTCAAAACTGTCACCCATCAAGAATGAGGATGTATCCGACGGTGGATTTCGAGGTGTCTCAACAGAAAGCAGGGCGTTGCAGCTTTTGAAAACCACAGCCAGAGCGGCGGTTCTGGGTATATCTTCAGCACATGAGGTAAGGTCAGAAGGGCGTTCGTTACAAGGAGAGCCTTTCAACCGAGAGTATCCATGAGAAGCGCGTAGGAATCAATTCTGTTCATTCACAATCTGATCCTGGCTTAAGTGAATGTCGATGCAGTCTCGATGAGAACGTCTGAGTAGCATTCACCATACCCTGAATAAATAAGACGTTGATTCAATTACAATAATACTGTGCCTTGACTCGCGCTCTTACAACCCTTTACTATGACCCTGAGATGGTCTGAACCCCGAAAGCAGAAGAAGATTTGTCCTCGCGTTGACTGTGCCTTTAATAGATCATGTTAGCTTGGTATAGGGATATCATTTTATCTGGGTATATACAATAGACGATGCGCATGATAGGCCATCATGCCTCTGCCAAAATCATCATGAACCTTCTTACGGCTTGGAATCAATTTTTACAAATCGGCGCCGTCGAAGGAGGATCAATATGCATTTTCGGCAATGGCCCAGGCACACGCTCTACCTTGACCAGAACCGGAATGACAGCACCCGTCGCGAGCGCAAACTTCCGGTGCCCCGTGACCTGCAAGATACTCGTAATGGCGCCCGAATGCGCCGTCAAAGAGATAAACGTGTTTTTGTCGTGAGTGAAGATGTTTTGGAGTAAGTCGCGAAGGCGAGCGTCACGCGCGGTGTCAGACTCCCGTAGCTTTGGATCATACAGGGGGTCTTCCTCTGCGAAGCCATCTTCGATGATGTACTCGGGGTACTCGGCTAGTATGGCCGTTTTTGATGACCGACTGTCGCAGGTGTGAAGGCCGATTGTTTCTCGGAGGAGCTGCTGATGTAAGTTTCCATGATTTATGAAAGGTGACATTGTAGACGAACCTCTTTGACGACGGGGCGG